TCTAACACATTTTAATCTTGATGTGATTCCATGGAACTATAAAATAATATATGATATGTTGTATGTATGTAATAAATATACAAATAGTAAGGAGTAAGAACCATTTTTGGTGTCAATGTTTTATATATTGACTATTTAAGATTTTAAGTCTATTTTTGCCATTGATAAACTGTGACTAAAATATGTTTTTCAGTGTCGCTGTCTTTTACAAAAGAATATGCAAATACATTCACAATTTTGCCATGAAGCAATGGCGATGGCTCAAAATGTTTTATTTGGAATTGGTGGAACTATATTTATATATACATCAACAATGATGGTTTGTCCATAAGGTTTGTCCTATGGGCGCCCTTCATACGGGTCGACAAATATTGATATTTTCGAAAAAAAAATTAAATTCTGCCTACCCGTTATTCACAATATGAAGCTCCAACGATCTGGCATCATTTACAACAAGTTGCACACTTGAAAAACCAAAATTGACTGCATAAAAGAGGATTTATTGTCAACTTTGTCCATTTCCGCAATACAAAATATACAAATTATCACGCTCCGTGGGAACGACCAATATGGCCGCCGCACGTAAACTGCGACTGCGATCAGGCTTCAATTTTCGCCTGCCTACAGGGTGGGATGCGCTATCTAGTGTATATGAGATATCTATGGGCCCAGGACCATAAATACATTTTATTCTTTCTTTGTTTATGCATTTTGCAGGCAAAAGTAGAATCGCGACTTTATTCAAAGATCAATTTTCTCTTGCATACCTATCAGTAACAATAGAACAAGTTCAGTTTGCCTTGGGAGTTTCTCTTTTAGTATTAAATCACATAAAAACCGTATTTAATCACCTTCTCGCCAATTTTATACGACACATTTTGACGTCGAAATTCAAGCAAACCAACGCCTCTGGGCTCTGACTCTGTATTGATCAGTGGACGAGGCGTTTTGTTCACAATAATTTCCGCCATTCTGGCTGACATTGACAAAACCGAGGGCAAAGCGAATATATTCCACTGGATCAGGTTTAACAACAGCCTACAGTTCCTTGCCGTTTTGTCTCTATTTCTGTATATATAAAATCAAGAAACCGAGATAGAATATATAGCATCAGCGTATATGTGTTTGTTTGACCTGCACACTCAGCCATAAAATTAGTATCTCGCCCAATCTGCCTGTCAGTTGGATAACCGAAGGTTAAGGATATAGTTCCATTTAAATTTCAATCGAAATATCGAAGAAATTTCCAGAAACATCTAATTTATACTCGATTTTGTCAAGAAACTACAGTAAATCATATGTATTTTGTTTTGATGACTTCCTGGTTTGACGTCACACCGGCATTCTCGCCCCAGTACTTTTATGCTGGCGGCCAAAGGCTCAAAATAGGCAAAATCGCCAACTTTGAGCCCCCGAAAGTCCATGAAAATCAAATTTTCGAATTATAAAATATATTGCAAAAGTTCTTAAAATCATCTAAACTATCTAAATAAGCTGATTCCCAAACTATGACATAGGCACTTTAAACGTCAATTTGTGGCTTGCAAATTCAGATAAACAGCAGTGGACTTACATTACCTTTTTCCCTAAATCTTTTTGATAGAAACATAAATGGTACTTATTTAAATATATTATCACTGGTTTGGTGTAAAATAGTTAATATTTTCTGACCGAAATAATAATTTGAAATGTGCCTACCTCCTGCAAATGGACATATTTGGCCAAGTTCTCCACTTTACTCCGCTGTTTATCGGCGATCTCGTCGACATCCTACAAAAATGTAAATCATCTCAGACATAATGGTATCAAGAACATTTTAAACAAGTTTCAACTTGGTTTCAAGTAGATCATACCTGTTTAACAATCGACAAGGTAAATCCACAACTTTGTCCAAATTCGGCGCCATTTTGTCATCCCATGTCGCTTGTTAACAATTCAGCCTTGTTACTCTTCCATCCAAGCCATTTCCATTCCACTAATAATCAATTTAACCCTTTATAACAGGAGGAAACTAAAAAATCTAAACAAAATATAAGAAATACGCCATTTTATCACCATGTAAAATTTTGCTCACGAGTCTTTCAAAACATTCCGTACAAATCTCGCGTGGTTTAGCAACAGGGACGTGACAGGGGGGGTAGAGACTTGAAAAATGAAACGAAAGCCCACACAGTATGGTAAAACCAACAATCAACATTTAATTTGTATGACTTTTTCATATTAATAAATAATAATATGTATATATTTGTCGCTACAAGAAATAAAACAAACATTTGTATGATTGTATTTAGCTTTTAGTCTATTTCACGCAGCCTTCTTCTATCTTCGTGAAATAATTCACCCCCTCCTGTCACGTCCCTGTTACTTTGTCACGCGATATTTATACGGAATGTTTTGAAAGACTCGTGAGCGAAATTTTACATGGTTGATAAAATGGCGAATTTCTTATGTTTTGTTTAGATTTTTTAGTTTCCTCCTGTTATAAAGGGTTAAATTTATTATTAGTGGAATGGAAATGGCTTGGATGGAAGAGTAACAAGGCTGAATTGTTAACAAGTGACATGGGATGACAAAATGGCGCCGAATTTGGACAAAGTTGTGGATTTACCTTGTCGATGGTTAAACAGGTATGATCTACTTGAAACCAAGTTGAAACTTGTTTAAAATGTTCTTGATACCAATATGTCTGAGATGATTTACATTTTTTGTAGGATGTCGACGAGATCGCCGATAAACAGCGGAGTAAAGTGGAGAACTTGGCCAAATACGTCCATTTGCATGAGGTAGGCACATTTCAAATTATTATTTCGGTCAGAAAATATTAACTATTTTACACCAAACCAGTGATAATATATTTAAATAAGTACCATTTATGTTTCTATCAAAACGATTTAGGGAAAAAGGTAATGTAAGTCCACTGCTGTTTATCTGAAATTGCAAGCCACAAATTGACGTTTAACTATGATTATTGCATGGCCATTTTCTTGTGAAATATTAGTGCTTGGCATTTCACACTTACCAATGACCACCCCCAAAAGTACCATCTCTGAACCATATAAGCACCTCAGAATAGCCAAAGTTTTTATGGTTTGGTAGATAGCAGTATGGCGAAAGCGTCGTTTTTGGGTGTGGTCAGTTTGGGACGTTTCGCCCCGGATTGGGGTTCGGACAGCGTTACCATGTTGACCGTCATGGTCAACTTACCCTAAAACAGTTGATATTATCTGTCCTAAATGAAATGCATACAAACTCATATACAGGTCCTAGACTAAATGGAAAAGCTCAACAGCTTAATGGGTTAAAAAATTGTTTTACCGAGACTTGTCTGCATCTGAAGCCGTGTTTACACTACGAGCCTAAGCCTGGCCTAGGTTTGGACTAGATTTTGGTAGTGTCGACTTCGACCGCCAGTAGACCACTAGACCATGCACTTCGACTGCCACTAGACCAAGAAATCTGGGCCACCTTTCCTGATGGGCCCAGATTTCGTGGCCTAGGCCAGGCCGAAGTGCATTTACACTACAAAAATCTAGTCCAAAGGTACGCCAGGCTTAGGCTCGTAGTGTAAACACAGCTTGAGAATTACCTAACTGGTGCCCAACATGGTGTGTTTACACCAGATAACAGCTGTACCTGGCTAAAGCCCTGAGACAAATCAAAATAGATCATTACATACACATAACATGAAGTAGTGACTTTGAAGAAGTAAATAAACATAGAAATTGGTCAGAAATTGGCTTCAATTGACCTGTATTTAAACTATTAAAGTATTAACCACTTGAAGGCAAACTCGATTTAACAACACATTCCAAATACTTTTATGTCTAGTTGACATCTACATATTAAACTATGAAAATGTAGCATGAGAGCCTTGCCTTACAAAGCTTTTATTTCATGTTGTTCACTTGCCTTTGGTGGCAAACTATTAAATGTACGAGAGTGAATTCCAAATTTATAGCAACAAATATTACTATTATACATAGTGTAAGCGGGTCTTTATAGAGTTATCTGGTTTTTGCCGTGAAGAGTATTGAATATTTAGATTATGTCAAGGATGAATATGTAACAGCTTCAAAATGCCGCAAACGAACAATTTATGCATATATTTACCTGCCCTCTCCGACGAGCTGAAATCGCCTGAACTTGTGGCCCTGAAACAACGCAATCTAGACTAGGTATCGCGCCTTTCTTCAGCCATCTCTTAGTCGTGAATTTTCCGGTTCTTGTGGATTAAAATCAAGCCGTTGTTCAAAATCTGTGACCTTGAAATGTGCTGAGCAAAGCACCGAAGTGCTTGATGGCTGTCATTGCGGACGATGTCTTTGGACAAAACAAGCCCATTTTGGTCGGACAGAACTATCGCTAGGGAAGCGATGCATCGAAATTCCTTCTGTTTTCGAATTGTTTTTGCAACTGACTTTTCCATGTCCGCCTGCAACACAATACTTTCCAAGAGATTTCCCTTTCGCTCGGCTGATTTGAGTCTCGGCCATAACAAATTGACAAATTCACCTTTGGAATGAACGCGCGAGTACAACCAGTGACGTCACGGCCATCAATTTGACCGCGCCGTGAGATGGGACAAACAAAGGTCATAGATGGCACACTTTGTAGCTTAAAAAATCGACTTTAAAGAATCGCGGGGCGAAAATAAAATACAGCATGATATTCAGCGTACTTTAAACTATAAATTCAGCACAATTTCAGAAAAAAATTTCAGCCGTTTCATAAACACTTTAATATGCCATGATTTTGTTTTTCACACAATTTAAATTTCTTAGATTCTTTTCATGACTTTAATATGTTAAAGAGAACTTGGCCTATTGTAACTTAAATTAGACAAACTGTAGGGAGCCCTCATTTTTATACATTCCGACTTTGTTTTGAGTTGTCTCACTCTGTTATTGTAACAAGTTGCGTTCAACGAAACTGAACTCGAAAAGCAGTCTCTTATGGTCAACACAACGTTTTAAGATATTATCCGGAAGCCAGTCATGCACATGTTACGGGTTTTCGTGTTCTTAATACTGCTTAACAAGAGCAGAACAGATGCATTTTTGGAACCAGTGGCGTTGTCCAACGTTCTTGCTGAACTGAAGGACGAAGTTCTTGGAGTGAAAAGAATGCAGGTCTGTTTTTGTTCCAATCGTTCAAGAGAGTTTTTGTAAAAAATGTTCTCATCCGCTGTACACTTTAGTATAATGTATGTATAACACAATAGTCAATATACAATAGTCATATAGCTATATCACACTATATAATATTACCGATTTTATACAAGATTCATTAGCAGTGCATATCATACACCAATATAGCTTCAAATATTTATCGAAAATCATCTTTGTAATAACAACTACATGCAACAATCAACTTATATTTAGGCTGTCTGGATGTAAAGCATTGGGCGCACAGTAAACCTGAATTAATAGGCCCACACTTTCGATAACGCAATCGAAAGTGAAATTAATATAAAATACAAAAGCGAAAGTATATATTTACCAGTCAAATTGGGTTGAAAATCAACATTCATTGCTTTTATCAACAATAATATTAACATGCAGTCCGCTTTCTAACGAGATGTTTGTCTATTGTGGACGATGTCTATCGTATTGTCAGTGAAGCAAAGTAACATCCCCACTGTAGTTGCATTGACGGTATTTAAATTGCGTAGTTAGTTCTATGTAAGTCTGTTTCCTGGGATCTTAAACTTTCTCTTTCACTTTATTGTTAATATTTCTGTGAGTATTTTAATGTATTTTAATGTATAATTTATTAGTACATATTTTAGATATCGACTGAACGTTCCCAGATTCACACGTTAAATAATTTAATTTGGTCATACTTAAGACCGAGGGAAAACGTACTGGCCCTGCTGGGATAGAGATTAATGTGCATGCAGCTTACAAGTAACAACACTACGGCTTACACGATACAGGATTCGTATCGGAAAAACATCAATTTAAGGTGTTTTCCAGTCTTGTCTGCTATTACAACTTTTCATATACGAAGTTTTTGTTTAATTATGCTATATTATCATAGTTTTAAGTGCCAAATTCACCTCGAAGCAGTAAAACTTGATGTCGCTCCGATGCGAATCCGGTATCGTGTAACTGGGGCCTAAGAGTAGTAACTGTCTCGTTGAATCCCCAATTACACGATACCGCGAATTTCTCGTCATGAGATTAAATTTAGCAGCTAGATTCTTTTCACGACTTTAATTAATGTGTTGAACAGGGACGCCGGAACGATAATAGGGCAAAGGGGGGCGGACGCACACCAAGGGCACCTTTACTGAAAATTTTTTTTTCACTGCAAAATTTTTTGGCGACCTCCCCCCCGTCGTCAAAAAAATTTCGGTCAGTGTACCATTTTAGGGGTCAAAAATGTTTTCCGGACATACAAAAATTTTCCGTGAAGCCAAAAAATTTTCCGGATATCTTAAATTTTCGCCATTTCTTCAAAATATTTTTCTACATTCCAAAAATTTCCCAAAATTTTTACAAATATAAACTATAAATTACCTGAATCTCGTGATTTTCCTACAAAAAGCATCGTTGGAAATGTGATTTATCACGTATTATTTTACAACTAAAAGGGCACTTCTGCCCCCCCCTAGCAAAAGGCAAGGGGGGCAGCCGCCCCCCCCCCTGCCCCCCAGTTCCGGCGTCCCTGGTGTTGAATTATTCTTGAGAAAACCGGCCACTATTGTAACTTAAATTAGACAAACCCTTATTTTTATTCATTCTGACTTTGTTGTCTCACTCTGTTATTGTAACAAATTACGTTCACAAAAAACTCGAAAAGATTAAATTTAGAAGTTTTACGAATTGGAAAATAAACAAGTGTCAATATAGGACAAGTTAAATATCTTGATATGCCCCGGATATTACTCCTGCAAATATTTAGTATACATAAGTATATACTTACCAAATTAACACCCACATCTGATATCTAATTGACTTTCCTTACGATTGTTTTAGACCTTCTTTGATAACTCTAAGTTTGTTTATGAAAAAGTGGATGGAAAAAGAGAAATTGATCTACTCTCCAACCTATTGAGACAAAGATTTCACGACAACATTTTTGCTCTTGAACAAATAAAAACCACAGTGGAAAACGCCTACAGTAATCAGCAAGTATATTCTTCACCAATTTATCCTGAATGTTGCAACATTAACCCAACTGAAACTGATTACAGATTTAAGACGAAAGTTTTCAGGGATAGATTTTGTGAACTTCGTGCAAAATATGTTTCGAAGGGTGCCAAACATCTTTCAAAGAGTTTGAAGGAAACTATGATAAACAATTTGAATAAAAATCCTGATCTGAAATGGCAGTATTTTGGATCACAAGAAGGAATACTTCCAGTTTATCCAGCATTCAAGTTCCCATCATGTGACAGCTATGATAATCGTGTTCGCCCGTGGTATGTTGAAGGAATCGCACCCGAACCCAAGGATATTGTGTTGATTATTGATAAAAGTGGTTCGATGGAAGATATTATTGGCAATAAAACTCTAATTGAAATTGCTGTTAGCTCAGCGGTATCTGTGCTGAATTCTCTGAATTCCAATGACAGGGTAAGTTATGTAACACAAACCAGGTGTTTACATGATGGATCACTAGGGTCTAGGGATGATTATAATTATATTATTCATATTAGGGAAAGTACATTTATTACACCGAGGGAGGCGGATGAAGATGTCTTGAAAAAAGCTCATATTTTTACAGGGCCCCTGTTGAGGTTATCTGTAAATTTCGATGCCCCCCCTCCAAGTTTTTAAAATTTTCAATGGCCCCCCCCCCCCCTCTAGAATTCGGAATCGAAGGAGTACAATCCGGAATTGTCTCTTATCATAGATACAATTTGCAGTTCCTCAAGATGTCTGATATACTCAAGTGCTTCTCCTCAACAAAACTACCGATCTGCTGCTTCTTTCATCTCACTAGCGCCTGATGAAATGACATCGTCTTGAAAACATTTTAAATTGGCTCTAGGGGTGGAATTATCAACAGGTTGTTGTTGTCCATCATTCAGCGTATTCGGAGTCTTGAACACGTTCATGTAGTGGCCAGGATTTCCTGGATCAGGGTAATGTGCTGGAACCTTACAGTATGTTGCCCCCACCCAACGTATCTCCCGGCATCTGTTGCAAATGTCTTTGCATGCCTGTCAAAAATGCATGCAAAAGTGCCAGTATGCTTCAATTTCTTTAATTTCCATCCCGTTTGTACGAAATATCCCATAAACATAGAACATATCATTCTTGCAAATTGTATATGCTTTTTTGCTTTTTGGCGCGTAAATTACTTCACAAACCTGGCGCAAAAAAAAATTAAAATAAGCTATAGGTGATTTCATGTATCCATTTAGAAGAGCAGACTAAGGATATCTTAAAACTGAAATCGGTTTCGAATACAACCATCAGGGACGTAGCAAAGCATCTGACATTTGGGGTGGGGTATGTCAGAGGATTATACGTGTAATAATTATAATAAAGCTTTTTGTGATTGATTGGCACTCTTATACTAAGTTTTGGGAGAAAAGGGGGGTCTGGGGGTCCTCCCCCAGAAAATTTTTACATTTTCGAAGCTCTAGGACTGAATTTCTGGCATTTTCTAAAGCTAATTTCGCAAACAAATTGCACGTAAATTGACTGTATTTTACAAAAATGGTTATCATTTCACAAAAATAATTACTTTATTACGCAAATTTTACCTGAAACTGATGTAAAAATTTTAACTTTAATTTGTTGGGGTCAAACCTTTGAAAAGTTTAGAGCCCCCCCTTCAGTATATCAAGAAGAGCCCCCCCTTTAATGCCAGAAAATATTTCGGAGCCCCCCCTTAACATCTTCATCCCCCCCCCCTCGGCATAATAAATGTACTTTCCCCTATAGCACGAGAATTTAATCTATTAATGCTAACTGTCGCCTTAATCTCAAAGTAACTACTTGACCGCGTATCCACTAAAATATAGAGCTACCTGTAGCATGAAAATTTGATTTAATGCTAATCTAACTGCATGCCTCGTTCTCAAATTTGACTGCGTATCCACGTATCCACTAGAATATAGAGTTACCTTTAAATTAACACTATCATGACAATTTAAGCTATTAATGCTAAGTCACTGTATGCCTCTTAGCTACCTTTACCACCATGGGATTTTAATCTATCAATCTAATTATTAATCTATTGAGAATAAATATAGATGTATTAAAATACATCGTATCCATGTTTGAAAGGCATGGCTTAAAAAGTGGACGGGTATTCTGCAATCGCTCCGAAAAGAGTTACAAAAAACAGTTACAAAAAACAGTTACAAAAGCAAAGAAAAGCAAGTGGGAAATTGGAAATGCCCCCCCCCCAGTTTTTTGGGCAGTCGGGCAATATTTGATCAACAGTCGGAATTTTTTTGGCGACGGGGGGGGGGTCGCCAAAATAATTTTTCCGGAAAAATTTTTTTGATACTAGTCGGGCAGAATTCGAAAAGTCGGGCAATTTTCTTTCCGCCCCCCTAATTTTTTCCTTCCGGTACGCCCATGGGAACGTTCTCGTGTTAACTGACCACAAGCCTTTGGTCACCATTTTCAAGAAACAGATCCTGACCAATCCTAGGCGCCTACAACGAATGAGGTTATGCCTCCAGAAGTACTCACTCCACGTAGAGTACAAACCAGGTCCACAGATTTACATCAGTGACACCTTATCGCGAGCAGCTTTATTATTATTATTTATTATTAGTATTTATTATTATTATTATTATATTATTATTATTTACAAATATTTACACACGGTAACATCTCAACCATAGCCCTAAACAGGGCCGCCGAGAGGGGGGCAAATTGCCCCGGGCCCCCAGGTTCTTGGGACCCCTAGAAATTTTTTGTTGGGCCCCAGTCATTTTTTTGGGTGAAATATTTCCGCGCAAAGGGCAAGATATTTGTTTTTTGGGGGCAAAGTACGGAAATTTGGTATGAAATATTGAGGTAAAGTCGCATGGGGGAGGGGTGGGGGAGTTGTTGTCCGAAAAATTTTTTTCCAGAAAAAACTTTGAAATAGGGGCCCCTAAAAAAAAATTGCCCCGGGCCCCCGCCAAGCTCTCGGCGGCCCTGGCTCTAAAATATCTAAAAGGTATAATAAATTTTTGAAAAAATAAAAAGGTTGATTTTCAGATGGCCGTGTATTTAAAATACGACTAAAATGGGAAATATGTACATAATTTAAAGGTATAATGTTAAAAATGTTAAAATCTATATAAAATTTATACATTTCAAATCTTTCTATGAACTTCAATGTCGTTCCAAGCTGCAGCATCTTTGTGACTAATTAAAAGCTATGCTTTAAAGCGCTAGTGTTGGGTTTAGGCAAGTAGAGAACGTGGTTCGGTGGTTGTTACTTCTTAATTGATACGTTTGATTAGAAGAAATAGTAAAAAACTCCCGGAGGTAATCAAGTGAATTTCCTTTCATTATTTGTATCATTAAAGTTTCTAGTTGTTTCTCTCTCCTTTCCTGTAAGCTGTCCCAACGAGTGACGGCATCAGAAGGTGTTTCGTAGCAATCACCTGTGATTATTCGACCTGCTTTATTTTGTAGCATTTGTAGTTTCTTTTGCAAGGTTTTGGAACAATTATCCCATACCAACGCACAATAGTCAAAATGCGGTAAAACAAAAGCGCTATAAATAGTTTTAAGAGTATCTTTGTCAAGTAAGTCTTTAGATCGTCTCAGTATTCCAATTCCTTTCGAGGCTTTTTTTGCTACCTTATCAATGTGGTCTTTCCAGGTGATGCTTTCATCTACTATGACGCCAAGCGTTTTGGTAGACGAAACTACACGTTTGATGCTTTCAGATCCTATTGATAGAATTGGTTTTGTCTTGATCCAATTAACATATACTCAGTTTTATTAACATTTAAGGTTAACTTATTGGCTAATAGCCACATGTGAATATTATTTAAATCCTTTTCCAACTTTTCCTGTATCTCACATGTGGTGGCGCCACTTACAGTAAAGATTAGTATTATTATCAAAAAGTGCTGGGACTGAAGAGTCAAGACAATTCGGCAAATCGTTAATGTAGAGCAAAAACAGAAGAGGACCAAGATTTGATCCCTGCGGCACATCTGTTGTGATTTTCTCACTTTTTGAAATTGTTACCCCAACTTTGCATACTTGTGTTCTATGACTAAGATATGAGGTGAACCAGCGGAGAGCAGTGTTTTTGATACCATAAAATTCTAATTTTTTAATCATTATATCGTGATCAACTGTATCAAAAGCCTTTTTCAGGTCTAAAAAGACAACGCCATTAATTAATCCCTTATCCATATTTACCAACCATTCATTGGTTCTTAATAGAGAAGAGCAAGTAGAGTACCCTTTTCTAAACCCTGATTGATTTGGAGTTAGTATCTGGTTTGTAATAAGGTACTGGTTTAGCTGATCAAATACAATTTTTTCGAAAATTTTAGAAATAGCGGACAAGATAGAAGAGATAGGTCTATAATTGCCACATTCCTCTCGATTTCCAGATTTGACAATTGGACAAACTCTAGCATTTTTCCAGTCACTTCGAAAATTCCCTCTGAAAGGGATATATTAAAAATAAGGTTCAG